AGCCTTATTACATGGATGGACATCCACCTTGAGTGTGTGTGTGTGTGTGTGTGTGTGTGTGTACTCATGCACTCACATCCAAGTGCTTTTCCTAGCTGGGGAAACCTATTTGTGAAGTTTTGTTGGAAGTCAAAAGTCCTTTACTTATTTTCCTTGTTAATGCAGAAGACACTCCAGGCTTTCTGTAGCTACTGTGAACCAGAGAAAATAGGGCCCCCCTACCAGAGAATTCCTCTCTTCTCAGGATCTTGATTTTTAGAATAAGAAGACTGGGGATAATTGAAAAATTACTCATATAAACAATTGCAATGTTTGTTTAGAGCCTGGACAAAAAGATGTATGTGGTACTGAGCATCAACGGCCCCCTAGAAGTCTAGCAGCAAAGTGTCTGGAGATCCAAGTTCCTGAAATACCATCTCAGTTTGGATGACTAGTTTTCAGAACTTATTTTTCTCTGAATATTTGCAGTTTCTGGCTATGTAGGCTTACATTTGATATTCCAATAAATTTCTTTTCTCTAAATTAACCAGCATTAATTCTGTTGTTTGAGAATTGGTTAAGTAGAATGTTGGAGATTTAGCTCAGTGGTATAACTGCCTGTCTGGCAAGTATGAGGTCATGAGTTTCATCCCGAGTACCAGGGAAAAAAAGAGAGAATTAGTTAAGTAGAGAACAATTAACAAAATTTCCACTGAAGGATATAAAATCAGTGACTATTTCCTATAATGAATGTATTTCACTTGCTAAGATATATATGATCTAAATTACATGAACATATTTCAATAACAACCCTTTTCTTATGATTTAAAAGAAATGTATAACTACTTAAGCTGCTATGCATTTATTTTTTAAAAGATTTTTTTATTTATGGATCACAACAAATTAAAATTGAATTAGAAGATACATAATCAATCACCAAAATAATTTCCTCTGTGATGTGGCTTATTAACAATTGAAGGTATAGATTCAAGGGAAGCTATTGAGATAAATTAAGCACCATTTCTTTAAATTTATTGCAAAATTCAGGTTTACATGTTTCATTGTATGAAACTTGAGCTTTGAGATTTAAAGTTTAGTTGATTGTGAGCTACCAAGATTAGGATGCTACCATAGAACAGCTTAATAGGACAGAAAAGAATAAGGGTGAAAGACCTAAATTAAGAGGCTGAAAAATGAGGTTTAGTGTGATAGAAAAGCAAGACAGTCAATAGAAATAGTATTGTCCAGCCATTGTCAACTCAAACTCAAATGGTGAAAGATAGCTCAAGAAGAGGACTGGAAAATCAGTGAGACTCTTGGGGACCTAGAGCAGCAGCCAGAATCAGAAGTTTAGTTCATATCAGTGGATGTAATGGGAAAGGGGTTCTGTGGTAAAAAGAATTCTTTGTGGAATAAAGATGGGGTGAGACCAACCAGAAAAGACCAGAACCATAACCTTAACTCTCTTCAGTACTTCCCACACTCAAGAAGAGAGTGGACTATTAGGCAGAAGACATGAGCACATGGAGAAGATGGAGGGGCACATAAGATAGATAAAAATCCTGGATTTTAGCAATGGACCATTGGAATAGACCACTCCACTGTCCTCCCCTCCTGAAAAAGATTATTGGGCAGTATAATATGATCTCTCTCCCAAGCAGTTCTCCAATGGCCTCTTCCAGTGGAAATTTCTGCCCTTGAGACAAAGACCAAAATAAAAGGTCTTCTGCTTCATCTTCTCTGTTTATTTTATTAATGTTTCTGGATGAAAAGAGATAGAAAGGAGCAGGGCCAAAACACCATACTCTTGATCTTTTCCTTCAGTCTGTTGGGAACAAAACTGATGAACACACAGAAAATTAGTTCATCTTCATTGGGTATTTTTAACTGGATAGTAGTCATATTAAGAAAGGTACCAGACACCTTCCTATCACTCAGTAAGTGATGGCTATCATTGTTGCCTGAGTCGGGCAGACTTTCTTCTTCTACAACCCATTTTAAGGCATCCCAATTAGCCTGCATTTAACCTTCTTACCATCTTAGGGTGATAAGACTGACAAGCTTAAATGAGCCTTATCTACATAAATTCCTGAAACAACAGAAATTAATGCAAAAATCATTATCAGAAATCCTAGGATAGCTGGTACACAGCTCTAATCATTGCAAATGAGGTTTAGAATAGACCTGGGAGCACTTTAAGTTCTTTTGAAGTGTTTTCTAAATCGGAAAATCTTTCTGCTAAAAGCTCTCTAAAAATTAACATGGATCTTGACCAAGGATGATTGGTTTCATCCCAAGAAAGTGCTGTCCTCATTAGGTTATGCTGAGGAGGCTAGCATGTGAGACATCCTAGAGCATGTTTCTATGATGCAATGGGAGCCATCAGACTGGTTTTAAAACAGTGTCTACATATGAGTGTGTAATGTGGATGAAAGACCACACTCACTTTGGAAATCATAACAGTAGGATTTTTAATAACTTCTGGGAAAAAGTTGCTTAGGAATAGCATGAATTTCTAAGTTTTTGTTTGTTTGTTTGTTTTTGTCTTTTTCCTTTTTATTGGTACCAGGGATCAAACTCATGACTGTCTGCTTGCAAGGCATGCGCTTATGCTGCTGAGCTAAATCCTCAGCCCCTTGAATTTCTAAGTTTTTAATCAATGCCTTCATAACTCCCAGGAAAGCTATATGCAAACCCAGCATATGTAATCTTGTCCAGCTATTCAAATTATTTTACTACTATGAGAAGTGAGTAGATGTCTTATTTTGAAGAATGATTTTTTCATTATAAAATGTCTTATTAATTTTTAAAAATGAAACTATCTTATTCACTGATAAATCATAACAAATCTCTCAGTGATTCCAAATGTATTCTGCTTCTTTTAAAAGCAAAGTTACTATCCCATAATATAGATGTGGTGTGTTTCTTTAATGCATATATGAGACATTACTGTAAGAATTTTACATGTAGCAACACATTTAAATTTACTATAATATTGTAAACATGGTTGTTACCTACATTTTACTAATTTGATAAATGAAGGCACTAAAGCAAACTTGGTCAATAATTTTTCTATGGTCTTTTATAAAGTGACAGTTTTAGGAGGTAAATGCTACCTCTTTCCCAAACCTCTAGGCCAGAAAAAGAACATTTTGAGAGTCAGGGCAATATTCTATTGACTGACTACACCATTGTTCTTATTGTTGAATACTGTATTTAGATTATTTGCAAATTCTTCCTAATGAAATTTTGTATTTGGAATTGTGGTCCAAAACCAGATTTCCCAGAGAAGAATTGCAAAATCAGATTTGAACATTTTTAAAGGAATTTTTTAAAGTAATTACATCCACTAATCTTTTTTAATTATAATTATTTCCACTGTTTCTATGCTTATAGATCATAAATTATTTTTCTTATTTCACATAGGGCAAGCTTTTCCCAAGAATAAACACTAATATCACACTGTACCATATATTGATAAATCCATCATAGTGTGCATGACTATATAATTAGGAATGCAACATTATCCATAGAGAAGGATTCCCAAAGAGAGCTGTGATCATTGCCTATTTATAAATTACATAAATGATGAATAGAACTGATCTTGAAACTTCTTGACTCCTGTGATAACTACAAAGTCTCCTTTGTCAATATATGTATTGACCTGTGCTGAATGTGACACTATTCTCAATGCTCATTGGCATTTGGAGATTAAGCGTAGTTCTGATACTTGAAGGAGACCTGTCAATGGCAAAAAAAATTTAATGAAAATCTTTTTGTTTTAGTTGTTTTGCTGCACACAACGGGAAAAAATAGACTTTATTGAAGGGATATTATGTAGTTTATATACGCAAAGGAAAAGTAGGACAAATAAAACTGAGCATTGAAAGGTATTAACAAGCAGCCTTCGGAATCCCAGGCAGGATCTCCAGAATAGTGTCTCACAAACTGATAATGGAATAAATGTCATCATTTGTAACTTCATTAGAGATTCAGATTCCTGGGAAAGAGAGTTTGATTGACTCATCCCTTCACTGAGGCTGGGAAAAGAAAGTCTGAATTTAACAGTCCCAAAGCTACCACCGGCTTTGCAGAAAGCTGAGCAAGCAAGAGCAACAGACGCCAAGTTCCATTTTCATCTTAATGAGGTAACAGAAGCTCAGAAGTCAATACCTTCTTAAATATCCAAAAAGCAATCTTCATGTTGGCAAGTCCGTACCACAAAATGTCTTTATCAGTATTCAGTTGCAATGTATTAACTTTACAAAGACATTTCCCTGATTTGTGGTAGATTTTCAAATTTAGCCAAACATGTGATGCTTTTGCTATGAAGTATTAGCTCTAAAATAAGAGCAGAAAACCAAAATCAAGTTAGTGTGAGAGACAAAATCTACTGCTTGAGAATCCAGGATACGGCCAGGAACAAATCACTGTGAAGCAGAATAAGTAATGTCAACTATGTGTGCGATGCAGGAAAGTCCAGTTCCTGGACAGTAAAGCCAAAATGAAGCTGGAGAGAGACAAGGGACAGGGATCAGCAGGTACATGAAAAAATTATTTCAGAAAGTGTTTTGTAATCAATCAAGGACTTCTTTGGAAGCCTCAGAATCACTGGGCATATGGGAGAGAGAGAGAGAGAGAGAGAGAGAGAGAGAGAGAGAGAGAGAGAGAGAGAGAGAGAGAAGAGAGAAGAAAAAGAGGAAGAGGAAGAAGAAGAGGAAGAGGAGGAGAAGGAAGAGGAAGAAGAGAGAAAAAAACAGAAAAGAGGTAATAAAGAGACAATGAGACCTTACCATAATGGATTAAGACTCAAAAAGTTCAACAAATCCCAGGTAAGGTAAAAAATACACATTCAGATACATCACAGTACCACAGTGATTCTGCAAAACACCAAAACCAGACACAATTTGAAAGAAAAGATGACCTTACAAAGCTGAAAATTTCTTGACAGCATCACTAGAAGACTGAAATAATTTATTTCAGTGTGATAAAAGAATGATTACCAAAATGAAATCACATTCCTGCAGTCAGTTAAGTGGACTGGGTTCCTTTGCTAATGGCTGCCCAGACTGTGATGACTGCCAATAGCAATCTCTTGGTTAGTGTATGCAACCTGTGCTGGTGTGGCCTGCCGTGAGGGACCTCGAAGACACTGTTTCCTGGTAGATGTTCATGTACCTGGCCTCTTGCCATCCCCAATCGAGGTTCCAAACAGGTATCAGGAAGCCCCAGGGCAAATAGTGAGGGTCCACACTGGACAGGTTATCATGTCCATCGCCACCATGGATAACAAGGAGAATGTGACTGAGGCCCTACACAGAGCCAAGTCCCAGTTCCCTGGCCACCACAAAAGCCACATCTCCAAGAAGTAGGCCATCATCAAGTTCAATGCAGACGAATTTGAAGATGTGGTGGCCAAGAAGTGCCTCTTTACTGATGGCTGCAGGTGAAATACACCCCAAATTGTAGGTAGTCCCCTGGACAAGCAACAGACCTTGCCCTTCTGAAGGCTTCCGCTGTGTGGCCCCTCCTTCTTGAGAAGTTCAATAAATCTCATGTCTGCCTCCCAAAAACAAAACAAAACATAAAAGCCAAAATTAAATTGTATCCAGCTGAAAACAACTTTAAAATACGATGACAAATGAAAGCTATTTTCACACAGAGAAAAAATGAGGTAGTGTAGTATATTGTTTAACTAAACTTTACTAAAGAAAGTTCTTTAAAACTCCTATTTAGGATTTAGGAGAAAAAGATCATGATCCAAATTCTAGAAGATAAGACAAAATGAAGACCAATAAATTGGAAACTGTGCAGGGCCCAGGAAGAGAAACAAGTCAATTCACCTTTCCCATGAGTTGGTGAAAGCCAGGCTGGGCCAGGGAGGAGTGTTAACAAGAAGACAATTCACCCTTCCAGGGAGCCAATCAGCATGAGGGCTGAGAGACAAGAACACTGCCCCCTCACATACAGACCTCATAAGCAACAAGCCGATTTAAGGGACAGGCTGAGTTGATAGCAACTGAGGTACAAAAACAACTTAATGCTTGTGTTGTTTGACTTTGCAGGCAGTAATCTGAGCATCTATTAAGAGGATAACAGTATGCAATATAGCAAACATGGGGAGTTCCCTGTATTATTTTTGAAATCCAATATTTTTCTCACTGTTTCGTTTTGTTCCATTTTATGTTTTGTATTTCTCAATGTTATGTTTTGATTGGTTTTCTTCTGTTTTATTTGATTTTACTATGGGCAGCAATTTTGAAGATAACAAGAGGTATTATGGTAGCCATTACTGATTTTCTATCATCTTGTTTTGAAATTCTTTATCATTTTCACTCTTTTATTTTGTTATGTTTTATTCTCTTTAAAATAAAAATAAATAAATAGGTAGACCAATAAGTTGATTTAAAAAGAAAGTAAATACAGCCAGACATGATGTAATCCCAGCTTTTTGAGAAGCGGAGGCAGGAAGTTTGCAAGTACAAGGCTAATTTGAGCGGTTAATCCGAAAGAAAAACAAATCTGAGGACAGTGTGTTGTCGGGTTTTCTCTACAACACCACTATGAAATAAATTTTTAAAAACCCAATGGTTTATAAATTAATTATTTGATATTTAATAATTCCAAATATTCAAAGATGATAAGTATTTATTGAATACCAGGCAATGTTTTAAATAATTTTTCTCAGCCATCTTCACAACCCTCTGAGTGAAGTATTTTTTCCATTATCCCTATCTCATAAAAAAACAGAGTTGAGGTTAGATAATTTGTCCAGCTGCATAGCTGGTAATTGGTAGTACCTGAATTTGAACTTTGATTTTGAATCCTTTAAACAACCCTGAAATAGTGACTCTCTTTAAATAAAAGATAATAGAATGTTAAAAGTTAGCCAATAAACATATATGTTCAGAATCTCTCAAGATTTTCCATCTGTCCATAATTTATACATACAAAAGGAAATACAATCAATTTAGTGAACTCTTTCTGAAATTCAGGCAATACCTGGCAATTCAGAGAAGGACATCGTGGAGAAACTTTTAACTAGGAAGACAGTACAGGTCGACACAAGGACTGAGTCCAAACCAGGACAGTAGCCCAGAGCCAGGGTAAGTGCCACACCTAAATAAAATTAAAAGGGTCATGTTACAGAAATAGGTCCAAGAAATAAATGAATGTCTAGAAATAAAAGACAGAATTAGATATAAGAATGTGTTTAGACATAGGTCTATAAAAATGGAGAAGATGAAAGGAAGCTAGTTCAAAGAGCTTGGGATATAAGAAAACAGATGTGGGTTATTCACAGCAATCCTTGTCGGATGCTGAAGATATGGCCCAGGCACGATTAGAAAAGGTGGGAAATTCAAAAGGGAAATGAACCGGCTCGGTTTCTTGGATCTGAGAGCTTACTTTCAGGTTAAATGTATTAGACCAACTGTTTTTAAAATTGTTTTCAATAGCAACATACATATTTTTGCAGAAAAAAATGTTCATGAAAATGATCCAGTTGCTCACCTATGAACAGTTTATAAAGATGGCTTATCGGTGTAATTTTTTGTTTAATTAAGTACTAAGACCATTACAGCATTAATGCTATTTGAAATTCTGCTTTTGAAATAGGTGGACACTAAGGAGGCACTACATAGTATATAGATTACAAGGATATCAGAATTCCTCTTGGGCTGGGAAGATTAGTATCACTTTGACATCCATCATAGAACTCTTCTCTCAAATTATCCACGGAAGACTCGAGTATTATGACTCAGGAATTGGAAATGATAGAAAGACTCAAAATTGTCTCCTCAGAATTTGAACTTTTGCCTTAAGTTTTAAAAAAGACTGAATTTGTCTGGAAGACTGATCTTAGGCGAGTGGATGATAAGACTGCACTTTCCCAGACAAAACAGGTTGCTGCTGGGAAAGAGAGCAAGCTATACCGGTATTTTGGGTCCTGTGTTTAATAATTGTGGGAATGAAACCCTATAATTTGAAAAGGTAATTGTGATAATGATGTTTGAACTTCCTCTAATCATTTTTCTTTTGTTCCTACTTAGTAAATAGTGAATTTCTTAGGACAGGACAGAGTATCTCAACAGTGAACAAGAGAATAGAGATTTCATTTGTTTTTCTTTACCATACTTGGTCCAACAATTAAAGGGAGACAACATAATTGTAGGAATGAAGGATGATGATGTTTATGAGACTACAATGCAAGTTATAACAAGAAAATGAAACTCAGAGCTCCAAAGTCAGGACCTCATTTTCTTAAACATCTCATTATTTGTCAGCATGCCCACCTCCCTCATTCCTACGTCAAGTGAACATCAGCCGTCAGTGATTTTTCAACACCACAGTTACTGCTGCTAATGCTTTCTTCTCAGAACTGTTCAGTCTTCCTTTTTATCTTCAGAAGAGTAATTGATAGCATTATAGCTAGAAATATTTGGTGGATAAAACTGGTAAGATGTGTGGGATGGCACAAAGGAAAGAATTTAATTTAACATGATTCCCAGGTTTCTGGTAGAGACAACTGGGAGATGGCAGTTCTTTGCCCAAGTTGAAAGTTCTCATAGGAAGAAAAGATTTGGTAGCATCAGAAACAATAAAAAGCATTGTATATTATAAACAATAATAAGAATCGTCTATTGTTAAGAGTCCACTTCATTTTAGGGCATGAAGCATTAATCACTTTGAGAATGAAATATTTAGTTTGATGTTATTTTTGAAACATCTGAATGACTAACCATATCCAACTGCTAGTTTGAGATTCAGGAAATAGGTCAGGGTTAGAGATAAACAACTAGGCATAGGTAAAAATGAAAATGACAGAAGCTGATGCAGTCTCTAAAGCACATCTCAAATGAAATAACCACAAACAGCCGATATGATAAAACAGAGGGAGTACGACATTTGGGTGCAAATGGCTTTGGTTTTATTCTTAGTTGAAATCCTAGTTTTCCTGCCCCTTGATCTCCTAAGACATTGATTCAAAACTGGCCTCCCCTTTCCAGTTTCAATAAAATGATCCTGTCTGATCCTTCTCCTACCATGATTCACTGGATCAGGTACAAAACCCTGGCTTGATCAAGTCAATCTAAAAGCTGTGCTGAGATAATCAGATCTTCTTTGGAGAAATTCAGCTAAGTGACCCACAAATTTATCCATCAACTAACTGCCAACCTCTTCTGGTCAGCACACTTAATAATAATACTAAGCCAGAATTTCTATGAAAATATTGATTCATATGCTTGGATCATTGTGTCTGAAATACTAGAAAGCCATTTGAATGATCCAGAAATTTCCCCTTGGTAAACTTCTTAGGATGAAGACAATAAGTACAGCAGGTAAAATAAACATAATTGAGGTTGAGGTTGTATGTCTAGAAGGTGGACTTGTAAGGGGAAATCTAGTAGAAAAGGATCCAAGAGCTCAAAAGACTTATGAGACATCAGTGGAGATGTGAGGAGGCTAGATTGGCCCAATAACAAGGTCCAAAAACACAGGACTGTCCAGATTGTGGTCATCATATATCCCCAATTAGCTGGGTGATTTCCTTGAGCACATATTCCAAAGTGGACTAATGCCAGAGGCTGCTCTTATTTTGATCTTCACGTTATTCATTGTTGATTTATTTTTAGCTCATTGGCCTTGTGGGCACAGAAGTATTGCTGTGACATCAATGTGGGGAGGGGAATCAAGGAAAGAATCCTTTATTGCTTCAACCAGTAATTAAGAGAAAAGATCTATGCCTGCTTCCTTCTCCAAACCTCAGTATTCCAGTCTTTCCCTAGGAAATCTGTGTACATGGTTTTCTTGCATGAAAATACCATTGTCCTGGGCATTAAAACTTATTCATTCTATTAACTGGATGCATCTAAAATACAGTACCACTCTTTTGTGATACTCCCAAGCTGTCAGTCAATTTTTAAGGTCAATCTGCCTTCTATTAGTTATCAGAAATACATTTTGTTTCATAAAGTAAGCATCTTTTTACAAGAGACTGATAACTGACACTTTTTAAAAAAGATGTTCACATTTTTAATATTTTCTTTATATCCAACATTGTATTTTATTGTATTATTTTAAGACAGCTTGGTTCCAAAAACCTATTTTGGAGCATAGGACAGGAAGTTTAATTTTATATGTAAATGCATAGAT